GCTTTCAGCCTTGCCTGCTTCTTCATCAGGCCCCCTCGCCTGCAGAAATAGCCCCCAAGCCTATGGAAACCAACACGCTGTAAAGGGAATGTCTGGTTTGGCCCCCCAAGATTAGCTATGCCAAGAGCATTGCTGAGCCTGGCATGTGGGATGGGGATCAGGGCTGGACCACAGCATCTATCTCTGTCCACTTGACACCAGGATCTGGCTGTGGCCAGGTCTGGGGAAAGGTGCCAGCCTCTCTTGTGCCCGGGGAGGAGCAGGGCCAGCCTTAATGCTGATTTCTGTGTGCCAGACCGGTTCCCCCAGATCATCCAGCTGGCCTCAGAGCTGGAGTTCAACCTGGGCTCAGAGCCTATCATCAGCTGTGTAGCCACTGGCAACCCACTGCCCACCAGTGACAGCGTGGAGCTGCGCAAGGCTGACGGCACTGTGCTCAAGGTACCGCCCTGTGCCCTTGCCCCACAACCACCTCCATGTTGCCAGCTCCCTCAAAAGCATCTGTCTCCCCCATGAGCTGCTGGACAGCTTCAGGCTGACGTGGGGACTGAGCCTGGGGGCAGAGCAGAGGGGCTGAAGGCATTTTATGTGTCCACAGCTGATCAAAACCATCATTGAGCCAGGACAGATCACCTGTGAGTTCCAGGTACAACATCTGACAAAGGCAGACACAGGGCTCTGGGAGTGCAGAGTCTCCACAACTGGGGGCCAGGACAGCCGGAAAGTCAAGGTGAACATTCGAGGTGAGGAAAGGGCGGTGACACGAGCAGGATGAGACAGGGTTACTGGGGGAAACTGACAGCATGGTGTGGCAATGCCAAACCCACTGCACTGCACTGGGTGCCTCCCATCATGTACCACAGGGTCAGCAGAAAGGTTTGGATGGTTCTAAAAGACTTTCTTGACAAAGCTGAAAGGAGCCAAGAGGTGGCAGATGTACACACACTCTGCTCCTCATTGCTCCCAGTCCCACTGGTGTCATTCCCTTCTCCCCCACAAGTGCCGCCAGTACCCCTGAGCCCCCCCCGGCTATTGGCCAAGCAGAGCCGCCAGCTCGTGGTGTCACCTGTGGACTTCTTTTCTGGTGACGGACCCATCACCTCCATCAAGCTGTTCTACAAGCCCAAGGATGACAATTCTGCATGGTCATCCATTGTGGGTATGTGTCTGTGCCAGTGGGGGGCACAGGTCTGGGTGGAAGGGGTGGCTGCCCCAGCCAGTAGGGGTCTGGAGTGGGCAGAGGCCTCCATGCCAGACCCCTTGTGGTGATGCCAAGGAGAATGCTGGTGGCAGGGCAGATTGTGGGTCATGAGCATGGTTTTCACATGTCCTCTTGACTAACAGTTGACAACAGTGAGAACATCACCCTCATGAACCTTCGGCCAGTGACTGCCTACATCGTTAAGGTGCAGCTAAGCCGGCCAGGGGCTGCTGGGGAGGGCAGCAAGGGGCCTGAGGCCGTCATGGTGACCGAGTGCCTTGGTGAGCCTCCGTCTCCCTCACCCTGACCCTGACCTTAACCCTGACCCTGCATGGTGCAGAGTCTGCAAAGTCCTGCAGCTGATGCACCGAGAGGTTTTGCTGCCTTTTTGTTTGCAGAGCCCACAGTCAAGCCTGTGATTGAAGGCTGGTCCATAGAAGACAAAAACACACTTCATGTCAACTGGAAGTTGCCAAGTAACCACGAGCCAGCACATGGGTTCATCGTCCACCTTTTCGACTCTGCAAGGCGGTTGGTCTCTGAGAAAAACATCACGTCCATCTCTGTGCTCTCTGCCCGCATCGGGGACCTGGAGTTCAACAAAGAGTATGGGCTGGAGGTGCTGGTGTACCACTGCACAAGTTTGGGGCCCCCCTCCGACCTCTATAAGGTCACGATCAACAGCAAAGGTGGGTCTAGTGGAACACCAGGAATTATTACAGGGACTTACAATGACAAATCAGTTATAAGTGTAACAGCAGCCATACCCAGGTCCAGCTGCTCCTGTATCCCATCTCTGATAGAGCATGAACAGCTATTTGAGGAGAATGGGTCCTCCTTTCCCCACCAGACCCTGCAGCCTGCAGCACCAAGCAGCTCAGAAACATCCTAAACTGAATGTGACATTCAGGCCATCACGAGTGACACTCACAAATGGATCTATCCTCTGCACCCTTGCCCAAACCCTGATGGACCTGTCTATACTTGCAGCCTTTACAACACCCTGTATTGAGGAACACAAGTTCCTCAATATAACTGTGTGGGAAAAAAATTTCCCTTTGGTTTGCTTCAACCCAGCTGCCAGGTAATTTTGCTGGATGGTCCTTAGGGCTTGGGGAGCCCTGCAGTCCTACCTGTGGGCACACACACACATTCACACAGCCCCCCATGTAGGTGGGAAACTATAGGGAGGTGAAGGATCTGCCTGACCAAGCTTTCTGGCAACCAAGGGTGAAGGCATGCATGATGCCTTTGGTGAGGCTCAGCACCAAGTGGTACATGTTGAGAGGGCCAGTGGGCATCAAGCTTGAGGGATGTGAGCTTTTCTTCACTCCCTGCTTCTAAGAGTTTTGTATGATTTGGAAATTTGGGGTTAGGGAGGCTGGAGAAGGCTCAGAGGAAATGGTGGGAACACAGTGTGTGAGGAAGGGCTGGAGAAATAAAATATCACAAGGCATAGTTGATACATAAGCATCTAGCTTGACAGTCTCTGAGTCTGGGAGCATTTGGGAGGACAGTCCTGCTCCACTGCTGTACATGGAGAGCAGTTCCACCACCTTCAAGCAGAGGCTGGAGGTCCCTGGAGGTCCCTCAAACCTGGCCCAGCTTTGTTGCCATTGCCATCTACAGGTTTCAGTCCTCACAGCAGAATTCAGCTCCTGCAGTGCCAGGACCATCCCCGGGACTGTGATGCTCTCCTCTCCTTGTTCCAGGGCCCTCCTCCCCACGGTTGCTCTCAGCAGAGTCTGTGTCCAACACCGCGGTCAGGCTCTCCTGGCAGGTCCCCGAATACCCCAACGGGGGCATCACCAAGTACATTGTGGAGCTGCAGCAGGTGGGGGGCACCAGTGAACCCCAGTGGATCGACACTGACAGTGGCGCTGAGACCACCAAGATCGTTGGGGGCCTCAACGCCAGCACTAGCTACCAGTTTCGTGTCCGTGCCAACTCCCATGTCCCAGGGGAATGGAGCCAGCTTGTGAAAGCCAAGACCCTGGGGGACGGTAAGAGGGGTGTCCCAGCAGGCAGGGGACTCACAGCTCTGCTGCAGTTAGGGCTCAGAATCTGGGTCAGCAAAGAGTGTTTCAGGTGCTTGAACAGTGCTCTGACAGTGGGTCTGAAGCAGCAGCCCAGGCCCAAAATACTCATGGGTGTCTTCAGAAATCCAGCTCCTCATAGTCCTGAAGGGGCGGGTGTGGCATGGTGACAGAATGGCACCCACAGAATGACTCTGCCTTGGTCAGAACATGATGTGGACCAGAGCCAAGCCGGCATGAGTGGAGGTGGTGGCTGGACCCAAAGCTGGTTGTAGATTCAGAAACCAGTGGTTCAGTGGCAGTGCCTGAGCTGTGCCATCCCCCCACCCCCCCATGCCACTGTGGCACCAGGAGCCTGGTTTGTGGTATCTTCATAGGATGCCTGGGTGCCCAGGTGCTGGGAGAGGTCTCCTGTCTTGGTGCTTGGTCACTTGTGCAGGCTGGCCAGGGCTCAGCCATGGACAGGACCCTCCATCCCTCCTTTTGGCAGGCCCGCCGCGCGGGGCCAGCCATAGCACTGAGCAGGCAGGAATAGACCAGCAGCTGCTCTTGGCCATCGTTGGCTCCGTGTCCGTCACCTGCCTCACCATCCTCTTTGCACTCCTGGCGCTCTTCCTCATCAAGAAGAACTTTTTCCACCGGCGCCGCACCTTTACATACCAGTCTGGCTCGGTGAGTGCTGCCTGCCCCACCAGGACTGTGTCCCCTGCTCCCCACATCCCAGCCCGATCCAGGTCACGCTCCATAGCCTCCAGTTCGGATGCAGCCAGACCTCACTTCCACACAGAGAGGGTGCGGAGCCCACCCTTGCCCATGACGCCTGCCCTGCCGGGACTGCCGTGTGGGCGGAGGGGTGCCCAGTGCCTCTAACCTCACTCACTCCCATCCACCAGGGGGAAGAAACCATCCTGCAGTTCAACTCAGGAACCCTGACCCTGACACGCCGGCCCAAGCCGCAGCCTGAGCCCCTCAGCTACCCCATCCTGGAGTGGGAAGACATCAAATTTGAGGACATGATTGGGGAGGGCAACTTCGGGCAGGTCATCAGGGCCATGATCAAAAAGGATGGTCTGAAAATGAATGCAGCCATCAAGATGCTGAAAGGTGAGTGTTGGGGTAGGCAAGCAGGATGTGCTGGGGGATGCAGCTTTATCCTGGGCCATGCTCATGCTGAGGAGCATCAGGAGTCATTGGTGGAGAAGCAGAGCCCTTGTTGTAGACCTGAGGTGTCCATCCTTTCTTTGCTTCCAGAGTTTGCTTCAGAGAATGACCATCGGGACTTTGCTGGGGAGCTGGAGGTGCTGTGCAAACTGGGCCATCACCCGAACATCATCAACTTGCTGGGTGCCTGCGAGAACAAGGGTGAGTGAGGGCTGTCCCCTTCTCCCCTCTTCCCAGCCCCATGGCCTCTGCCCAGCTATGTATTCCTCTTTGCTGGGGAGACCCCCAGGAGCCCAACCTTCTCCTGCCCCTCAGGCTACCTGTACATCGCCATTGAGTATGCTCCCTACGGAAACCTCCTCGACTTCCTCCGCAAAAGCCGAGTCTTGGAGACAGACCCAGCCTTTGCCAAGGAGCACGGCACTGCCTCTACCCTCACCTCCCAGCAGCTCCTCCAGTTTGCTTCAGACGTGGCCAAAGGGATGCAGTACCTGAGTGAGAAGCAGGTACGTCTCAAGCAAACCCCTCAGAGCATCCTTCCCCTGGGGCCAGGGGGCATCACATCAGGTCACAAGATCCCCGGGGGCAAGCATGTGGCTCCTGCTGACTGCTGGCCCCTTTCAGTTCATTCACAGGGACCTGGCAGCAAGAAACATCCTGGTGGGAGAAAACTTGGCCTCCAAGATTGCTGACTTTGGCCTCTCCAGGGGGGAGGAGGTCTATGTGAAGAAGACAATGGTGAGGCAGGAGTGAAGCATCTCCATGGGGTCTACACCAATGTGGCGGGCAGGACACCCACCATCAGTGTGAATGACCCACCATGCTTGGACCTGCTGGGTCACAGATACCCTCCATCCATGGGCCATCCACACTCCCCTGACAGCTGCTCTCTGTTTCCCCAGGGCCGCTTGCCAGTTCGCTGGATGGCCATCGAGTCCCTGAACTACAGTGTGTACACCACCAAGAGTGATGTGTAAGTTCTGCAGGCAGGGGCACCAGGGCTGGGGCTGCCTCCATCCCTCTCTGGTGCAATCAGCGTGACAATGCTACTGCTCTGGGTGCTGCAAGGGCAGGAGATGATGCTGATGCACCTCCCTGGGGTGCTGCTGTCTCAGCCAAAGCTCTAGCTGCCTGTTCCACCCTGGGCTTTGCCCTCTGCCCATCAGTGGGGCACAGCTGGGCACTTTGTCACAGCCTCGGCTCCTGCCCTTTCAGGTGGTCGTTTGGTGTTCTGCTCTGGGAGATCGTCAGCTTGGGTAAGACTCTTCTGTGTCCCCTGCCTTCACTCAGGTCCCTGTAGGTCTGGTCCTCCTGGAGCTCCTGAGGGGACACACCAGGACTGTCCCCACCTTAGTTGGCTGTTTGTCTCTGGTTGCAGGGGGAACACCGTACTGTGGGATGACATGTGCCGAGCTCTACGAGAAGCTGCCCCAGGGCTACCGCATGGAGAAGCCACGCAACTGCGACGACGAGGTGTAAGTGGGCAGAGCCCTGGCTGATGGTGGCACCCACATCTCCCTGACCCCACTGCCCCAAGGGCTCCCGCCAACTTGCAGTAGCTTCTGCCAAGTTCCCTCTGCATTGTGGCTGAGGGATGAGCTGGGGTGCCACACCCCAAACACCTTTCCTGGGCTTTAGTTTCCCACCTGCTTCCCCCATCTCCCACAAAGAGCTTTTCTGCCTCCTCTCCCACGGTGCACATTGATCCACCCACAACTCTCTGCCCCCAGGTATGAGCTGATGCGTCAGTGCTGGCGCGACCGTCCCTACGAGCGCCCACCCTTCGCCCAGATCTCCATGCAACTCATCCGCATGCTGGAGGCCAGGAAGGTGAGTGGGGAAGTATATCTGTCCTGCATGGTGCTTGTCCACAAGCTGGAATTCCTTGGCCTTGAGGACACCCACCATGTATGGGGCTAACTCCAGATCATTTTTTGGGTGTGGGGAGCCTCATTGCCTCCCACCAGGGCACAGTGCCTGCGAGAGTGACAGTGGGGATAAGAGGTGGATGGAGACACTGTCACAACTGGCTCCCAATTGGGATTCCCCACAGGCCTACGTGAACATGGCCCTTTTCGAGAACTTCACCTACGCAGGGATTGATGCCACTGCTGAGGAGGCATGAAGCTGTGCTGGCACCACGGAGGGGCAATGCTGGCCTCAACCTGCTGGGACAGTGCTATGTGAACAAAGGGCTGCTCATCCCCCTGCAGGGCCAAGTGGCCAAATGCTGGTGACCCTTTCCCCCAGCAGGACTGTGCTGTCCCCTCCATGGCTGCCCCCCCAGCGTGTGCTGGCCACACCGGCATGGTGCCAGCCATCAAAAGCCCCACACTGCTGAGGGACATGCTGGGATGGCCCCCAAGGACAAGCAGCAGCAGGGTGCTTGCAGCAGAGCAGGCACGAGAGAGGCCTTCAGGAACCAGGGTACTGCTGCCTGAGCCCATGGACACAAATGCTCAAGCTTTGGAGGAGAAAGGAAAGCAGCAACCCAGCGTCTGCCTGCCCTGCAACTCTCAGCATGCTCTGGGCCTGAAGTGGTGCCAGTGGGGCTGTGAGCATCACTGCCAGCATGGAACAGGGCCACCCTGGCATGGGTAAAGGGACAGCACTGGCTGGGCACAGCCTCCAGCTCTGCAGTGACCCTTCAGAAGTGCCAGGTCTGCCTTACAGACAATAAACATCATGCGACAGCTGGGTCCAGAGGAGTGGTAATGGGGACCCAGATCTGCCCCACTGACAGCACTGGAGAACAGGATGTGGGGGCCTAATGGTCCTGTGCTGTGGTGCGCACTCCTTGGAATCC